TTTCAGGCCTCAGGATATAGGTGACGTCCTCGTGGAAGATGGGGACGGAGTTGGACCAGCCCATAGGGAGCGTACAGTGCCGCAATGCGCCGAAGGGAGTCTGGAACGTAGTGAGGTCTCTGGAGGATTCCGCGATCAGGCGCTCGTCGTAGCCCACATAGAGATCGAAGATCGCGCCGCAGGCGCGACCTCCAAACTGTTCCGCGAGGTAGTCAGGCGTGGGCGGTACTCCCGAGTGCTGGATGGTGACTTTGTTGAGTGGTTCGAGACTGTGGACGATGCGTAGCGAGTGTTTGTCCTTCTTCAGGACGCAGAACCACCGCGAACGGTAAGAGGAGTTGGACGGCTCGTAGACTCCGGCCGCGATCTTGCGTTTGAGCATATCGCACACTTCCTTGTACAGGCCCGGCGGAATAGGAATATTCTTCTCCACCCATGGCGTGTGCGGAAGGACCGGAACCCCGACAGGCGGGAAGAACTCTGACTTGAAACACCCGCGCTCGTCGTCGCTCCATGCGAAACCGTCGTTGTGGACGCTCATGAAGTAATGGACGAGCTTCTTCTCCTCCGCCCACAGGAAGTCGTCGCCGTGAGCCTTGTCGAAGGCCTCCTCACGCTCCTGTGTGTAGCGACCAGTTGGTACGAATGGTGGGGGTGTTGGCGAGAGCTTCGGCATCGTAGCGAGAGGGTCCCCCGTGATGTGGCGTTCTATGCGGAACTTCTCCGGGCACGTCCCGAGGACTGCACGCACCTTCTGCGCGACGGGCTTGTACTTCTTCTTGGACTGGATATAGGAACTTGCAAGCCCATCGACAGTCGGAGTATCCGCCGCTGCATCAGGTTCCGCGCTCGTCTGGGACGCCGTTCGCGCGGTGGTTTCGCGCGCTACTGCCGGCGAAGTGCCTGCTGCGGAATGGGGGTATACGACGCGGGAGCCCTTGTCCGTTCTATAGGAGAACGCGAACACACCGCTAGAGTCTAGTGTAGATGGCGCAGGTCGTGAGGAATACGGGGTATCGGCGCCGCCGGGTTGAACCGTGGTAGAGAAGATGTTCGCCCTCGGCGCTTCGCGCGCGGAAGGGCCGGGGCGAACGTCTCGAGGCAACAGAGGAGACAGGGGAGACAGGCTATCGGACGGTTCGCTTTGTGGGTTTGATGCGTGAAAGAACGCTTTTGTAAGGTTCGGGAGTCGGTCGCAGGCAGAGAGATAGAGCGCAGGTATAGGTACAGAGGGATCGGAGACTTGGGTATAGGCGCAGATGCGCGGAACGCCGCCGTCCATCTCGATGATGACGGCGACTTCTTCGCTACCATCTTCAAATGGTAGGCTCGGGTCGGACAGGCTCGGGGTTAGGACGGGCTCGAAAACGAGCACGTCCCCGCGGAATGGTGGGGATCGTCGCAATTTGTCCGGTGTTGGGGCATTCGATAGTGATGGTCTGGTCTTCGTTGTCAAAGTTCTTGATGACACTCTTGGTTAGAACGTCGAAGGGCCTTCCAAGCAGCATGTCGTATGCCGCGTTGCGAACGACGTGGACCTGCAGGTAAAGGACAATCGTTGAGACCTTAAACGGCATGTTCCGCACCAGTCCGAGCGATTTCTCGACCTCCCCGTTCGCGGACTGCATGTTCAGCCGTATTGTGGGGTCGTACGATAGTCCGAGGTGGTGACACACGTGCTCTGACATCGCGACGATCATACAGCCAGGGTCGACAATTGCTTCCACGTACTCCTTGGTATCGACGAGGCCGACAATCGACCGTAACGCGTGCGACTCCTTCGCGTTCTTCAGCGGGGGACTCTCTCCAGATGGCGCTACATCGCGGAGGTAGACGTCATAAAGGTCGGGGAGAACGAAGCCACCAGGCTCTAGCGGCGTCCCAAAACACGAGAGTTCCTCCTGCTCCGTTTCGGCCGCTCCCTGAGCCCCTCCAACGCTGGCGAACGCGACAGTTCGCTGCCCCGTGGGTGGGACTCGTCGTGGGGTGACCGCTTCGCGGAACTTCGCGCGGACCTCCGGCGCCAGCGAGAGCAGCTCCTCCGTCGAGACGTTGATCACGGGAGTCTTCATCATACGCTCAAAGACTGCGGCAGCGAGCCCGGGTTGATAGACTGGTGCGATGGTGCGAAAGGCACCGTCGCGCTCTTGTTCCTTCGGTTTCGCAGGTGGCGCCCCAAAGTTGCGCACATTCGGAGGCGCATAAGTCGCATCGCGCGCTTTCGCGAAGGGGTGCTCCGGTAGCAGTGGCACACCTTGATCCGCCGGTGCGCGGTACGGGGTCCCTGGGCGCTCCTGCGGTCGCGGCTGCTCGGGCACCTGGTTCTCTGTGGTGCGGATAGTGGCGTCGTGTACGGACCGTTCGCGGTCCCCGGCTGCTACCGTTTCGCGGAATCGCAGTGCAGGTTCGAGATGCGGAGGGACCGGCCGAGAAGGCGGCACAGCAGTGTTAGGCTTTGGAGGCGCGAAGGCTGCTGAAGATCGCGATGGGCCCGGACGCGCGTCCGCGGAGCGTTCGCGGGTCTGCGGGCCAGGCGACGCGGGCCGCGAAACTGGCCGCGAACGTGGCTTCTGGAACGAGGGTATCTCCACACCGTCAAAGCGTTCCTTCCCCCTCTTGAGCATGTAGAGCTCGTGCTCCAACTGCTGGATACGATCCTCCGCTGTGAACTGGAAGCTGCTAGCCCAC